TTTGTAATTTCCCTCCTAAAGCAAAGTCAACTGGGCAGGTAGAACTTCAGAAGAGAGAGAGAAAGAGAGAGGAGAGGAGAGGAGAAGGAGAAGGAGAAGGAGAGGGAGAGGGAGAGAGAGAGAAGCATTTATTATTAAGAATCATCCAAGGTCAAGTCAGAAGGACTGGGTCCACACAATAAGTTCAAATTAAGCTAAGTTATTGCTCATGCCTTTACCCAAGAATTTAGTCAACCAACGGTCAGCATGACCTTGGTGCTGGGGAAGAGTCAATGGAATTCAGGAGGGGTTGGGCTTAGACCATTTGTGGGAACGTAAGGATTCTAGGCTGATTCCTTTCTTGACACCCCCACCCCTGCCTGCCTGTCCGCCTACATTCAGCAAAACGAGCTGATCCATCTCATGTTGTGTTTGGCCATCTTTCCCTCCCCTTTTAGAGCTTCTTCCAAGAAGTAGACACGGGTTTTTATGAAGCGGCCTGCTCCGTGATATAACTACAGACCTGGATTTGAGTTGGACCATAGAGTGCATACTTTCAACACAGACAAGTCTGGAGTTCGAACTTCATCAACCCCAGGTGTTTTTGTTTTGTTTTTTTAAATCATGGACTAGATCAGGGGTGTCAAACTCGAGGCCTGGGGAGCCGGATCCGCAGGGCCGCCGTGGAAATAGGGCCGCCGTGCCTCTGCCAATGAAAACGGAGTTTGGGAGGGGCACGGGAAGCCCTCACGAGCTCCGGTTTCGCTAGCAGAGGGGGTTGCAGCCGAAAACGGAGCTCGGGAGCCTGTTTTTGCTGGCAGAGCACTCGGGCCACCATAGGCGCCCCCGACACAAGTGACATCGAGCTGGCCACGCCCCCCCGCCACACTGACCCCGCCCGCCCCGAGGTCAGATACGATCTGGATTCAGCCCTCAATGAAATCGTGTTTGACACCCCTGGACTATGACGACGGTCTTCCCAAGGAGTTATGAGCAATTGGGACTCCCTGAGGGATGATCAGCTACAATTTACTGTCAACCACGAGCTGTAGAGAGCTTATCCTGATACTTGTCCTCCACTGCATCATGGACCAGCCACCTACCAAAGACGGATCCTCCTGTCTATAGAGAGTCACTGCTGGCACTGCTGGAAGACCCAACCAGGGTCCGAGTGTAAGTGTCATGCTGTCACATTTGGTGGCTGCCTACGAAAAAGAAGGCGGGGTTAAAAGGTGAAGATCCCCCCCTCGCACATCCGTGCTAGTCATTTCCGGCTCTAGGGGGCGGTGCTCATCTCCGTTTCAAAGGCAAAGAGCCAGCGCTGTCTGAAGACGTCTCCGTGGTCATGTGGCCAGCAGGACTAAACACCGAAGGCGCACGAAGCAACGCTCTTCCCTTCCCGCCAAAGGGGTCCCTATTTTTCTACATGCATTTTTAACATGCTTTTGAACTGCTCGGTTGGCAGAAGCTGGGACAAGTCACGGGAGCTCACTCTCTTATGTGGCGCTAGGGATTCGAACCGGCAAACTGCCGACCTTCCTGATTGACAAGCTCAGTGTCTTAGCCACTCCGGGGTTAGAGAAGTGGAAACGCGGCTTCTTTAAAAAATTATTTTATTAATAAACATTTTTTTAAATACAGCGTTCTGTTCAGATATATTATTTACAAAAAAAGAAACATACTGTAAAAAATATTATCTGTAAAAAATACTGTAAGTAAAAGTACTGTAAACATATTATCCATTTACTAATAATAATAATACTATAATAACACCTAAACTAATAGCTCTAGTAATACTACAGTTCCCATACAATACAGTTCCCATTCTTTGTATTGAACTCATTCATATTTTTAATATTTAGAACAATTATAATTATATATCTTCCCTGTTTTTAATAAGACTGTTCATCGTTTCTCTTCCTCTAACTTCTCCCCCTTGTTTTAAGCCCCTCATAAAATCCATTCAATATCAAATAGTATTCTGAGTCTTTTTTTATCTTTTTCTTTTAAAGTTAATCTGTCCATCTCAGCACATTCTAGGATCTGATTACCTCCTCATCAGGGGGAATATTTTCATTTTTCCAAAATTTTGCATGTTTTATTTTTTTTCAACGCATCTGAAAAAACGAGAGATTGCGGGCCTCTTTAATGAGACCTGGCTGAATCCAGAGAGGATGAAAAAATGATCCAAAATGGCTCACCAGGATTTGTTTAAAAAATAAGAGCACAGGGTGAAAAAAAAAATGTTCAGGTGCAAAAACAGACAGTGGTTCGCCTGCCAACCAAGCTTAAAACGTGATCTGTTGGATGAATACGAGCAGCTAGCCACATTTTGATTAAGTGCAGTTCAAAATAATCCTCCTTCCGGACATGTTAAGAGCCAGAAGAAGCGCATGGTTATTTTTCATTTTAAAACAGTCAACAGTGAAAGTAAATTAAATAGTTTACACACAACACCTCTCTGCTTTTGGGATGTATGCAAAGAATTGCTTGTGCATAAACAGAAACACAAGCAAATAAGCAAGAGCGACAGTCACAACGTACCAGTATGGAAGACGAGACGTAACCCAAAGCCAGAGTCGCGAGATTCACCCTGAAACAAACAAACAAGCCGTTTCAGCAGGCTGGTTAGAACACCTCAAATCGCCACCTTTGATTTCTATTACATTTTAAACAAACAAATGAATAAAATTTATAATAGGTAAACCAGTTTGGCCTGATGGTAAAGGCACCGGGCTAGAAACTGGGAGACCGGGAGTTCTAGTCATGCCTTAGGTATGAAAGCTGACTGGGTAATTCTGGGCCAATCACCAGGAGACTGAGAGTTCTAGTCCTGCCTTAGGCATGAAAGTCAGCAGGGTGACTTTGGGCCAATCGCCAGGAGATTGAGAGTTCTAGTCCTGCCTTAGGCATGAAAGCCAGCGGGGTGACTTTGAGCCAATCACCAGGAGACTGTGAGTTTTAATCCCGCCTTAGGCATGAAAGTCAGCAGGGTGACTTTGGGCCAATCACCAGGAGACTGAGAGTTCTAGTCCTGCCTTAGGCATGAAAGCCAGCCGGGTAGCCCAATGGGAGAAGAGGAGGTTTAGTATTAAGGTCTCTCTCCAGAACTCAGCATTCTAAGTAGGCCATTTTGAAATGCATCTGTGTTCAGCGTATGAAGTAGAACAAGGATCCAGCTGGCCGCGCAATCTGTCACTATTATAAATTGCCACCACCGGGAATGCCTCTCTCCATTCCGTTTCCTGTCCAGAGCTCTTGAATCATTTTGACAGCTGCCCCAATAGCCTTTTCCATCTGTGTGAACCAGAGCTGCCTGCCTACTAGCAGTGCCCTCTCGCCTGGACTGGATTGAACGTTTTCCTACGAAGCGCTTCTCCAACGGCGACACCCTTACCCTTCGACGTGGAGCCACATGCCGTGCTGCTCACAGAGTTCCCTCAATCGACCGAGTTTGTCCGTGTGCCCTGCCCCAGGGGTGCCTGCACGGAGAGGAAACAGCAATGGGAGGCTAAGAAGACAAGAGCCACTAAGAGGGACAGGAACAACAACAGAGCTCCTCAACAGGCCCCCCCCATCACTCCCGGTCAACCCTTCCTTCCCTGTGAGAATGGCTCCTGCCTCTCTTCCCTAATTGTTTCCTAGGTAGTATTGCTTCCCTTCCTCCCTCAAGGCCACCCACTCATTCCATCAGAGAGAAAGGAGCGATCAACCATTGATACCAACTACTTCATACTGCATACACACACACACACATACACAGACTCACATCATCATCATCATCTTCTTTTAACAACCCCATAATCCAGTGGTCCCCAACCTCTTTTGTACCACGGACCAGTACAATCCATGGACCGATCCATGGATCGGTATCGGCATCAGCACGCACGACCAAGGCAAGGCGAGCTGAGCGACAGGCCAGCCAGCCAGCCAGCCATCCCCCACTTCTCCCCGCCACCTTCAACTCCTCCTTTGTACCTTCTCGCGGTCGATGGGCTTTTCGGGCTCTTTTTTTAATCTCCTCCTGAGTAACGCGAAACTCCACCGCCATCGGGACGGCTCTTCGTTCGAAGCCACCCTCCCCCCCTTCGACGAAACTAAGGCGCGAGGATTCCTTCAGCACCCAAACACCGCTTTCCAACCGACGACCGACAAGCTCACCCGGAAGCACTTTCTCAAGCGCTACGGACATTTGTTATGGGACAAACACACACACACACACACACACACCCTCCAGCATTGCAGAAAAAAACAGCTTGTTCATATTTGCTAAAATCACCCACCAGCATTGGCCACCAGTAATACAGGCAGCCTTCCAGATTCAAGGTCTTCTTTGATCAGTCTGTCCAACAAAGCGACATCCTATCGCCAAGCAAAATAAAGGAAAAAGGAGGGAATAGCATGAAGAAAGCATAAAAATAGGCAAGAGGAGTCTCACTGATTTCTGTTTTTGTAAAAAAAAAAAAACAAAATCCAAAGCCTTACCATTTGATGCTGGGAGCCAAACATCGTGTTACACGGCACTCGGCACATACAGGAAAGAGGCAAGCCAAGCTGCAGAAAGAGATGCAGAATCCAAGGTTAACAAATTAACCGAGAATAAAGAATAATACGATGGCGGCAAAGGAAGAGGTAACGGTGATTTGCAGGCCAAAAACTCTGCGCCCATTTCAACTTACCTGACTACAGAGGAATTGGCCCAAGCCAGTTCTTGCCGCAGCACTGATGTACACCATTGGCTGCTTGTTATATAAAGCATTAAAACCTTCAGTGGCATAATCTTCATAGCGGGAGTGAATCGCCAGCTTGCAGACTTTCAAAAGCCCTTCGCGATCATCTTCGTGGTAGTAGGCTGACCCGTTTTCAAACCTGTTAAGAGCAACGATGAATCAAACGTGAGCATCCTGAAAAGGGTGCCAGCTCACTTGCTTCATGTGAAATTGAAGCAATTTATTCCCAGCGAGGATTCTGAAAAACCTTGGGGGACGAAAACGCTACGTTAAGCTTGTAATTAACATGGCTAAGACACATAAAAAGAGGCCTTTGAAAGTGCAGAAAGAGACGCCACCAAAGTGGATCACCAACTGTAGGTACTGTTTATTAACCGACAATAAGGGGCGCGGTGTCTCAGCGGTTTAATCACACTGGAGAGGGTCACAGCTCCGCCGGCTCGAGTCCTAGCACGGTGTAGCAGGGTGAGCTCCCATCACTTGCCTCAGCTCAAAAGCATATTCTACATTGAGTAGATAAATAGGTACCACTTTTGTGGGGAGACGAGCGGTGCTCTGTGCAGGCAGGCAGATTCCGGACAGCTCTGAACCTTCCCGCTTGCAAGGCAGCTCCAGGAAGGGAAGGGGTTTTGGGGCGATGCTACAGGAAAGATCTGTTCGTCTTTCTCTCTGGTGCAAAGCCAGCTCACCCTCCTATGGCAAACCTTGGGAAGCGCGCATGCACGTCCTATAACAGGGCTGGAACCTTGGAAAGCCAAATTACTACTATGCTGATATCCCGGCTATTGTAACAACGCTATAAGCTAAACACAACAATAATAATACTGACAGTCCAAGTAGCCTTTTGTCTTCCTAATTAGCTTCTGGATGTTTAGATTAAATGGGACTTCCTTTCCTACACACTTAGGATAAAGGCTACACTCAGTATTAGCGACACAAGGGTACCTGAAGAGCCTGCAGAGCCACAGGGTTGTGTCAGAAAGGATTTTGGTAGTAAGTTTTCTCAGTCTGTCCCTGTCCAGGATGGAAATATAAGCTGCCAAGCTGTGTCCTAAGAGAGCCATGTGTCCCTGCTCCCCAACATTTTGTAGCCTGCAAGCCAGGAGAGAGAAAAAGAGAATATGACAAAAAAAATCACACTTTCATTTGTAGGCTGAGAAAAGCCTTTCCCTAATACATCAAAAAAAAATGATCAAGGGGCATTTTACTGGATGTATCACATTTAAGCGGTATTTATTTTTGGTCCGAAAGAGTGATTAGACAGCTGCTCAAGCTGGTGTTGGCTTAAGACCAAGTTAAAATCCCGTCCACTGTATGATGTAGATTGGATTTTAACTTGCTTTTAAGCCATCATTGGCTTGATGGGTTTCTTCCTCTGGTGGCTTCTAATGATCTTTCCCCCCCACCAAGAAAACACTTGGTTGTAGACTTCAGTTCCTCTGCCACCTGGAAACTTCAACCTTTTTCTGGCTACTTTTTCAGTTCCTTAAATAAGATAAGATAAATTTATTGTCATTGTACTCAGAAACCTGAGAACAACGAAATAAGGTGCTCTTCCACAGCATACAACTGAACAATACCAAAAGACATATACAAATAACAATGTAAAACAAATTAAAACAAATAACAGTTAAAAACTGTACAACCAGGATATATATATATATATGTTAAGACCACCAGATTCATAACTCTGCATTTAACCTGATCACAGCACTTGGGTAAAAGCTATGTTTAAATCTACTTGTCCTGGCTTTCAACACTCTATATCGTCTTCCTGATGGTAGGATCTCAAACAACGAGTGGCCTGGATGCGAAGGTCTCTCAAGATCTTTTGTATCTTCCTTCTACATCCCATGTTATGGAATTGTTAAGGAATTACTTCCTTCACTGTTAATTTTTTACGCTTACAGGTAATCAACATTGCCTGCCACTAATTTTTGTTTCCTGAGAAGCAGGAAATCAAACCTGTAGATCAGCAAGCATGGGCTTCTTCAAATCTGTCATCACTTTAATCTTCCGAAAGATACCGCTCCCCATCTACCCAAGGCATAAGAATATTTGCAAAACCCGATTTCCTTTTGCTTTAAGCATGCTTTTTTAAGGAATACTTTAAAAAAGAGCAAGACATTAGGTATATTATGTGTTCGGAGAGAATCTTAAAGATAATGACTTTGCATCTTAAAAAACATGAGCAAAACTTGTCCTTCTGTAAGAGAAGAAAAGGTGGAACCTGGGAGGCAGAGTCAAGAAAATACTCAGCCTGGAATCATTACATGTCCACAAATGCTGTAAATCCAACCCCTCTTGAATTCTGTTGACTCTAGCAGCAATTTAGTGCTGGCTCCGAATTGACTAGATGGGTGTGCAGACTTGAGCAAAAAAATCTTAAGTAGAACTTAATATGCGACCCTGATTCTTTATGCCTGACACCTCCAACCCTTTCCACAACCTGGACAGATCTCTATTAAACCAAAAGTTACCGATAAGACTGTAGGGATTCTTCTTCTTCGTCTCCATGCATAAGTGTCTGAACTAGCTGGAGGATGCTCACCATGTCCTGTCCGCTGGAGGAAGGGAGAGAAACACAAATCCATCTTGATCATGAGGCATAAGATGATGACTTTAAAGTAGACGTGCTTCATACAGGTAAGTCCTTGACTTACGATCATTGGTTTCATTCTGACCAAGGCTTCTGAGACCGTAATTTAGCACACACTTAGTTAAACCAACTCTTGTTTTATTTCAACGCTGGGAATTATGTACATTCCCAGCCGGTAATGAGTCCCAAACAGTTCCTCGAGATAAGCACCCACTTTTCTCTCCTTTGAATTGCTGCCAACAACAAAAGTACGAAATGAACTATAAAAAAACCAACCGAAGTACAAAGTCCACACAGAGCTTCAAGGATTAATCTGAACAGAGTGAACGACTTTGCTTCCTGCAAAGGTTTCATCATCTTTGCCTGTCCTTTATCCTTTATAGGAGGGACAATCGCCTCCAAGCCTTACTCCTGAGTCGCCCCTTTTGTTTCAGCTGCTCTCACCTTCTAGCAGCTCTGTGCATACGCGCACTGGGAACAGGCTCCCCTAGGTCCTCTGCCTTGCTGTTGCCAGACTCCGGAGGCTCCTGAGTCAGCACCCCACTCCCATGTGGTCCCGGCCCCATCTCTGCATCGGACGCAGGACCCTCATCCGAGTCCTCCCCAGACTCCTAGAGTGGTCCCCGTTCTTCCCCTACTGCACAGGTTGCCAGTGAACCACAACAGGTTTAGCGACCGTTCAAAGTTACGACGGCCCTGAAAAAAGTTACTTACAACCGGTCCTCACACTTACAACTGTTAGTGACTCTTTGGTCACATGATGAAAATTTCGGCCCTTGGCAACCAGGATGTGTTGACGAGGATAAGCAATCTCTCAAAGACACATGATCCCCAATGGTGACTTTTGCTTTTGGTCAGCAAAGTCAACAGGGAAAACCTGGTTTTGCTTAGCGTCCATGTGATTCACTTAATAACCACAGTGATTTGCTTAACGGCCGCGGGCAAGTTGAAGTTCGCCCATCTTAAGGTTGCTAAGAACCTTTTTATGAGGGTAATGGGCGGCTAAGAAGTTTGATATAGAGAGACCGAGAAATGATTTAGACTGTTGTATTGAGTATGAAATTGGAGTCCGTTGCCCAAATGGCCTCTTCAGCTTTACACAAACCAATCATCCATTTGCCCCAACATTAGCGACAATCACACATCACACTGATGACAATTAGTGTGGCTATCAGTTACCAACATCGCGTGATTTGGCAAACGAATTCAGATTATTCTCTTTCCTCAGCTTCAATTTCCCTAAATTAAAATACCCAAATTATTAGTGTGGGGGGGGTGGACACACCATAAACAGAGATCATTTACCTGCCTTGAAGTGGCCCAGGAATATCCTTTCTTGTGTAGTTCTTTTCATTCTCTTCTTCAACTTTCCTAATTTTAACACAAAACAACAGGAATTGGAGACAGATTGGCCAATATATATTTTCTCCTATAACGGGATTTCCTTCAAAAGAGCCACACTGGATTAGCTACATAGCTGCCAAGGTGCTGAATCCAATTCCCTTTTAATGAAATGACCAGGTTAAAAAAAAAAAAATTCCATGCCGAAACAACGCTGGTCAGCCAGTCTTATTTGTTTGTCCAATTGTGTACTGCCGAAATCAAAGGATGACTCATTTGTCTTATCAAAAGCAAAGCACAGCCCACTGATTCATAACAGGAAATGTCACCCTGACCTCTGAATCGGTTTGTGCTTTCTTTTAAAAACCAGCTTTGCATCATTTTCGCAGGAACACATAAAACCAAAATTATCCCTTTTCTCTCTCTCTCTCTCTCTCTCTCTCTCTCCCAACAATAGGACAGGCAAGAAAAACCTGTGTATGAATAAGGAAATATCTATCACATACCACTGGCTGTTTGAAGTTTATTTTAGTGTGACTGCTTAGCTGCAGTGACATCACTTTAGGATGATGTCATGAACCTAATTTGCTGGGTGAGAAGACACGTTACAGCCTCCATCGCTACAGAAGCTGGATTCACACACCATGCTAGAATAAATTCTAGCGGGCTGGTGGGTGGTTTACTGCATTGTGTGAACAGAGCGAACGTTCAGTTTTCAAAAAGCTAAGTTTGGTGCAACTGCCAAGGGGCACCCTTAGCCACTCATAATTGCTTCAATAGTAATATGGGCAGCATATAACTTGAATGAATAAATGAATGAATGAATGAATGAATGAGAAGTTGTAGGTGCTTCATCACTGGAGGTTTTTAAGAAGAGACTGGACAGTCACTTGTCTAAAACGGTGTCTCCTGTTTGAGCGAAAGGTTGGACTAGAAGACCTTAAAGATCCCTTCCAGCTCTATTCTGATTGACTGAAGTATATATTTCCCTAAAACAGGATCCACAAGCATAATTATTAGCAGCAATCCTCTTGAAATTCTGCCAAGACTATTAAATACCTTTGATTGTCTTCAAGCAGCTTCATGGCCTCATTGAGATTCTTTCCCATTTCTGCTAAGGTAGGGTCAACCACCTGTTATTTAGAAAGAAAAAGAAGGAAAAACAAAGTCAATAATGTGGTAACGTTCCATTCCCAAACCGGCTCATGACAGGAATTGTAGTCTCCCAGAACGAAGCTGAATTGAAGAAATGTTTTAAGAAATATCTCGGTTTTCTTTTAAAAGTCCTTGCTATCATTTGGGAGGGAAATACATTAACTCCAGAGCCGCCATGTTAACGGAAAACTCTGATTAGACTTATGCTGTCCATTTTCCACAGTGAATCATCTCGTGGCTCTTTCTGGAATTTTTCTCTCTGGTTTTCGCGCTTGCCTTTCAGAGATTCCACAGAGTTAAAAATCTGAGATCTCCTTCACTGAAGAACAGCTTTTAAAGGTCGGGTAACTTCAAATGCTTCTCTTCTTTGTGAGACAAATGCATTTCAACTGCTTGCTTTTTACCCCTTGGGTATCAGGTCTACCTGGACTTGAAACAGGTTGTATGGGATCTTTTATCCTGAAGTTGCAAAAACAAAAAAAAAGGCAGCTATTTATGCATCCACCAGCAGTTCAAAACTCTTACGAGTAGCTGGAGGAAAACTATTATCCTCACTTTTTTTTTTTTTAAATTTCTGGGGAAATTTGGTGAGAATAAGGGGCAATCTAGGTATTTCAAATCTCTCTTTCAATCTTGGACAACGTGCCATTCAAGTCTTGGTGCATTCCTATTTGATAAGGGAAAACACGGGCTTTTTATTGTAAGGAGTAAGCATTTGCTAGCCGGGAATAATGTCTTATTTTAAAAAGCTGATATGTATGAACTCAAGATAAGCTCTAAATTATAGGAAGAGCCGCACTTGTGTTATTTATAATTGGTTGCCTGGTCTGAGGATTAAAGTAAGAGAGATACAGTAAAATAATGGTTAGCGCTTTAAGGCGTCAAGCACACACACACATAAGCACAACACAAATATCCTGGAAATGGAGTGTGTTTGTACCCAGCATCACAGAGAATCAATAAATCTACAACAACAAAACAGGCGCCTAATTATTATGTACAGCGCAGGTAACAAGGTAAATCTTTTTCAAAGTACTTGGAGGGTGATTGGTAATAGCAACCTTTTCAGAAATATAAACGAAGCCCATAGAGAGACATAAAAAGGATGAATGCTAAAATGGAAATTTGTTAAAATGGACAAGCTAAATATTATTGTTATTACAGTAGTATTGCTATTGTCATGAATGTTATTGTAAACACTTTGTGATTGTCTAAAAGCAATTGTATCTAGACAACACACTATTTGATTGAAAAGGAATTTTTATATGTTATATAAATAAAGAAAACTTGGTGGGGGGGGATAAACTTGGATAAGCAACTAGTGGCTTTGAGAAGATAACAACTTTAACGAACGATATTGACTTCAACAAATGATATGAGCCCCTCTCTACATTTTTCCCCTCCTAAGGGTACTTTGTATTATTTTTTCATATGTTTAAACGTTGGAGCTGAAGGTCTGATTCACCTTTAAAATTAAAAAAAAAACAAAGCATAAAAGAGCTGGTTGGCATCTCACAGCTGCATCGATACTGCTGGGCTGCAAATGTATTCCCAACGGGGATCTGTAAACATTTGTTTTCAATGTTTATCAAGCACAGGGAGAGAGAAAGATTCCTGCTGGTGTTTGGTTAAAGCCTCCCATCTGAAAAGTGTCCCTTCGATATAATAAATTAATGCTAATTTCTTTTCTTGAAAGACCGTTATGCTAATCATCATATAATATTCCTAGCAGGAATATTCCTTCCATAATAAGATTACTTCATTCCTTCACTTGCTACAGGAGAATATTTTTTTAATCTCACTTAATGTGACTTAGCAAAGGACTTTGCAAGCCACTATAACTGAAGTCAAGATGGCAAAGCACACTTCGCCAACAAGAAGCATTATATGGATTTGTCAAACGAGCGTGTGCTAAATTCTTTTCCACCTGATAAAATAGAGAGGTCATTATTGCCAAATCAGTCAAAATGTATCATGAGTAAGGAGGAAATGCCAAGGTATGCCAAATAAACTAAGTACAATTTGTGTCATTTTTGTTGGGACATGGCAAATAAAGGTTTCTTTTTTCTAAGAAACCGCTGGATAAGTTGAGAATTCTGTCACTGCGATTTAGTATTTAAAAATCGATTGGCTCATGTTAGCTCATGTTTCCCTTTTTGTATATTTAATTTCCAGAAAAAAATAATAATGGGGACTGCCAGTTGAGCAAGACTGTCCTCAATGGGCAGGAGGACCATTATGTGGACTTAAACTATAGGTAATCCCCGACTTACGACCACGATTGAGCCTAATAATAGTTCTGTTTGTAGGCAAGACAGTTGAGTTAGTTTTGCCCCATTTTACGACAACCCGGTTGTTAAGTGAACCTGGCTTCCCCGTTGATTTTGCTTGCCAAAAGGTTGAAAAAAAGAATAGAATAGAATATTTGATGATATAAAAAATGGCCTCGGGACACAGCCACAGCCGTTTAAGTCTGAATTTTGATCACGTGACCATGGGGATGCTACCAAGGTTGCGACTGTGAAAAACTGTGTTAAGTCACCTTTTTTTCAGTGACGGTCACTAAACAAACTGTTTTAAGTTGAGGAGTACCTGTACCTCGGCCCTGAGTCCTGTGTCAACTCATAAAATATTTCTGTGGTCTTTTTAGATTTGCCAACAGAAAGGGAGGGAGGAGCAGTGGGCAGCTTGCATTCTGCTCTGACCCACACCCTTTTCCAACAAATCAAACACAATCCAAAGGGAAGAGAAACCTTTTAATGCTGCTGCAAAGTAATTAGCTGTGATAAGCACAAGCCTTGCCAAACTGTGTGAGACTTACCAAAAGATAACAAGACAAGAAATAATTCACAATATAAGAATCTTCAAATAAAAAACCCAGGATACTGGAACGTCCACAAGGCTGGAGTTTCAAAACGTCTTTGCCTTCTGCAAAATATTCATTTCACAGCTGGCTTTTATCTTCTTGAAGGAGGGGCCATTACCTTGCAGCCTTACTCCCGAGTCACCCGTGCTGTTGTAACTGCTCTTTTCTATGAGCAATCCTGCATGCACGCACACTTGGCACAGGCTCCTCGGGAACCTCCTCATCGCTGCTGCCAGCCCCCACAATCTCTGAAGGCAGCAGTCCACTCCCTAATGGTCCTGGCCCCTCATCTGAGTCCTTGCTCTCCTCAGCCGTCCGCACCTGCTGCCAGCTAGCCACAAAACATTCCATAAATGTTTTCAAGAATAGTTTCTAGGTGACTGAAGTTTCTGCCACGCAAAATTCTAACTGGAAAGCATGACTGATGATTCTTGGCTATGGATGCGTTCCATTGGAGAATATGAATTACGATACACCCAAGGGGTGGGGGAAACCAGGGTCAAGGATGACAATGAATGATGTGCCTCAGAGTCAGCTACATCCAGGAAGCGCCAGCATGTCTGCCCCTAATAAATCTTCTTTAAGTTTTGGACTTTTGGCTGGAGACTCATGATTTAAATGGGGGCAACTGTCAGAGCCCTGACATCCTGAAGAAAAACATCCCTCGTTCATCGATACTGTGACCCTTGTGGCTTCTTCTCATCCTTCAAGGAAGCAGACCCAAAGTATTTCAATTATCTATCAACGATTGTGTAGTTTTTCCACCATCAGCTTCTTAACACATACCGGACTCTCTATCAGCAAACCAAAGTTATGTTCACAATCACAGCAAGCCAAGCAGCCGGGCACCACCAGAGGAAGTAAAGCTCATGTCATTGAACCCATGAGAAAGAACTTTGGACTCTATATATGTGAACAAACTGGTTTCAAATCCTGATTCCGGGACCCCAAGTAAACACACACACTGCAGGCTCTTCCTTATTCCTTTTATTTTATGGAATAAAGACAATTGCTTTGGCTTTGGGCTGCAGGTAAGATATTTGGGTTTTTTTCCATGCCTTTTGAGTGAAAATCACCCAAATTAACCAAGAGATCAATTCGGGAAATAATCTCGAAACCTCATGCAACATCAAATGAAATAACCGACAGAGCAATTTTTACGATTTATCAGACCCTCCTAATATATTCCAGTTTCTTCTGATTGGAGAATTGAGGTCAAACTTTTTTAATTCACTGGACCATGTGCTTCCTATCTTATTCACAGGAGCATGGAAATAGCACAAAGAACTTTTGACACATCGGGAAAAAAAAACCCTGAATAAATTGTTCCAGCATTCATAACATGAGCAATAAATCTTTAAATTGTAGTCAATGCGAACAGGCTAAGTAACCAATGCTTAAGCATTCAACGGTATCTGATCAAACTACAATTCCTCTTCCCTGTGCTGGTCATTTATCACTAAACACTAATGGCTTTCCTATCAATAAATCTTTATTTTAGAGGTCCATTTTAGCACCCTTGAATTAGAGTTACGTGGCCGACATTCGTTTCTACATTCAAAGTATGAACGAATAAAGATCCATTCATTCAAAGTGAATCCCAAATCCTCACAAAGTTTAGCTCTGTTAAACTGGAAGAGCCTGTATTTATTTATATCCTTGTTTTACATATATATATAAATAACTCAAGGTGGCGAACATAACCAAATACTTCCTCTTCCTATTTTCCCCACAACAACAAAGCTGTGACATTGATTGGGCTGAGAGAGGAGGAAGTACTGGTCCAAAGTCACCTGTGTAAGTGCCTGTAACTCATGCCTTCAAAATTTGGTAACCGATATCCTTTTGATTAGTAATCTCAGCACCAAAGTCTAAATCCAGGGCTTCCCGTTCTCCAAAGATTAAGAAAAAAATAAAAGTGATTGATTTTCTCTTCCACTGCTGGGATTATCTCCATTTCAGGCAAGACGGCAAGTGACTTTATCAAACGAATATTGACATGCCATTATAAAATCGTCCACATTTACCATATAAAATGGCATTGGATATATGTACATGCATGTGTGCCAAGAAAAAAGATTTAATCCGTTCACAATTGCAGGTCACAAATTCACCAG